GATGATGACGCTGTAAAATCTCACTTAACTCAGTTTTTGGCCGAAAAGGATCAGATTTTCTACGAGCGTGGAATTTTCAAGTTGTCGGAGAGATGGCAAAAGGTCATCGAACAAAATGGAAAATACATTACAGATTAAACTTCGTTCCAAGTAAAAAGAAATTTTTTATTTCATTGAACAAATCGGCAATTACTTAGTTGCCAACCCAATATTTCGTACAAATGATTTTTTGTAAATTGTCTGTATTAATTGCATGATATACTGGTTAAGTAGAAGTGCATTTCTGCTCTCAATGAATCAACTGTGTCCCTAGTTATGTGAAATAATAGCATTTAATTACAAATAAAAAATGACGAAACTGGATAGCAAATCAATTTTAGAAAAATTTCCGAAAGGGTATCAAGTTCGAACTTCCGCAAAAATATTATTCCTGTTTACAAAATCTTCCGATACAACATCATTCGCAGTTTAGTTACAGCGGAAAGCTGCGCACGACGTTATTAATATTGCATTTGGATCACACCGATTCTCGGACATCATGCGTGATTATATTGGAAATTGTATTTGCAGATATTATTATTAATTTGTGATTTTAATTGGATATTGGATTCGATGGATTTAGATTGATACCGGCGATTTATGGTACGGATATAATCGCGAGAGCAGCAATTAATCCCTGATAGTTCGACTAAATTGTGTAATCGAAAATCACTGGAGTACTAACAAACATTAGCAATGCTGTAATCGTTTGCACAATATATTACCAAAGACGCGTGCGCATTTTGCAAAATCCTAAAGAAATTTGGAGGATTGTTCCATAATCATTTGTACGTAAATCCAGGTTTCTTTCATCTGTTTCATTTGACACTTGAAGCGTCAGCTATAATTTTGTTCATAAATTTCTTTCAACACGTTTTTCAAGGTATTTCCTCTAGATACGTTATCTTGTCTAAAGACCTGAATGAAACATATAAAAATCTAAATCAATTGTCAGAAGCTGGCCAAATAAAACTAGTTAAACCGACGTTCTGCGACAAACAAAAAATCGTTTCGTTCGCAAGATTACTTGGACTCGAAAAAAAGGAGTATCACTCGCTCTTAACAGATGTCTGAATCGATGTTCTACAGAAACGGATTAATCGATCGCCGATAATTGAATACGATGCGTCCGGAAAGCTCAGCTGGTCAAACACCGAAATAAAACTTGTGGTCCCGCATCACATGCAACATGTATGCCAAGTCACTATTGTCATTCGTAAATGATAAATAACGTTCATCGATCGGAGCAGCGAACCGAGGAAGGTGCGCGTTGCGGATCGGAAACCGTGGAACGAAAAATACGAAAATTATAATATTAGAGCGATCGGTACGATCGCGGTTCCATTCCGGTGCGTTCGTAAGCGTCCCCGATATCGTTAATGCCGAGTGGTATCGCTTAGGTGTATCCGCCATAAGGAGCCGGGACCTCACCTAAGGGCCTTCAAATTGCAGCTCGGCCTAAGCGTTCCCGTAAGTGGCACACTGTACTGAAGATAATGGGCGAGATCACCGAGTTCCGTGTACTCGATGATGGTCCACGGTACTGGATCTACCGAGCACACTCCTAGGATCCGAGCCACGTTCGGATCGGACAGACAGGACAGAAATCGGACTTCTCGGATTTGATTCGTCGTACTACCAGCTCGAATGTCACCGTTGCATGCCGGCACGCGAGCCACTACCAATCTCGGTGAATTCGGTACCACTTCCTCCAGCCCAACTGATTCGCAAACTATCGCCTGCAAAACGTAAGGAACAATTTTTATTTTTAACTTCACCCTTGCGCGTTACAATGATCTTTAAGTACTAAAGGGTTCAAGATTTCTTTTTTAGATCTTTTTGGCTTTACCTCTCAAATTTTGACACTTAGTGTGAATTTTTGCGATAAAGATTAAATAAATATTTTAATGTTTTCGTTAGGTTATAAATATTGTTAAATGTTTTCAACTAAAAGACAATGTCTTAAATAAGGATTGAATAAGATTTATTGTACTATTGTACTATATTGTACAATAGTAGTACAATATATTGTATATATATATAAGTACAATATATTGTATATATATAAGTACATTATATTGTATATATATAAGTACATATAATATATATAAGTATATAATATATATAATATATATATATATAAGCATATAATATATATAAGTACAATATATTGTACTTTATTGTACTATACACTTGTACAATTTATACAGTGTTGCGAATAATTGCTGCAGCTTGTTATTCCAATTATGTTTATATATTTTTAACTGTATAATATAATTTTAACATAAATAGCTCTGTTTCTGTGCGGAATAAAAAAAACGATTCCTCGTCGACAAATTCATGCTTCACTGGCTGAAAAATTATATGCATTGCACTATGATTCCTAAGTGTTATAAATTTAATTTAATTTTAATTGTTATATCATTTGATGACAGATGATATCATTGCCACTAAGTTTAAGCTTTAAATTCCTCTACGAGAATTGTGCATTCATTTCCACAGAAAACTTGAGACAGTTCATTACTTGTTAAATATTGTTAATATCGAATCGATTTATTCGAAAATCGAGTCCATTAAACATTCGTTCCGTTGCGATTTCAATTATTATATCGTTTCGATCCGTTCATATGTTTGTTCTTTCTGCGAACTATTGTCAGTAGTATAATACGAATAACAAGATCATCCGTTTTTAAATTCCCTCTGTCCACTGGACTGTAACCTAAGAAAAGTTTAACGACTTACGGAAGCATTATCGGCGAATGAAGTTCTGCGTAATGGGATGATCGACAATTAAGAAATCCGGATAATCAACGCTCGACATTTTTATTCAGGATCATTCAGTCTCCCTTATGAATTCCATTAACGGTACGACCTTATTACGGCGAGTCTAGAAGCCCTTGCAGCTCGGGCAATAATGAAATCAAATTTCAAATCCATTTCTTGGCTCATTAACCTTCAGCCACGTGGAAATCATAAAAATGAACGCGTTCAAAGAATCTTAAATGTTTCTCGCTAATTCGAAACGACTGCAATTATTCCTTTTGCTCTGTCGCAATCGCACTGTTTTTTTCTTCTTTTTTCTTTATTCTTTTATCAGAAAGATAACTCGTTACGAAGCAAGGATCCATAGCGTCTTTAACAATGTATGATCGCTAATGCTCGCGTAAGCCGACGAATTCCCAAAATATAAGGAGCCCCGCGTCTGTGTACACATCAACGTGTGTGCATAATGTACAGGGTAAATGCATTATCCCTCAGACCTCGTTGTCGTTCCTCTTCGATGTTTCGCGAGCAAAGTTTCCCTGTAGTTTGTAGACGTTCATATCCCGGTGTATTGCCGAGTTGTAATAGTACCGCGTTACAACCCTATGATATCGCCGACTTTATCGATTACGCGATCACGTCGACGGGAAATTAGCACAATGCCTGGTAATCGCGGGTTATGCCGCAGCCAGTAGCCAAGTTTAATCGTACAAACTCCGGAGCATAGTACTTCACCGTTTTTCCCCATTTTTTTCCCCCCCAACACTCTCATTCGGCTGCACTTTCATTAACTTCAATCCCTCACGTTTTTTCAACACCCTCGCGTTTTTATCGCGTCCTGCATTGACACTCGCCCAACCGCTGCTATAAACTGTTGTTTCGCAATTGAAAGGAATTGAAATATTTCTTGAAAAAAATTGACGATACGTTTTTCCAAAATCAAGAGCATTATGGGAATATTTTATGGAACATGTTCGATATTCGGTGTTTATTCACATTGAAATTTTCGTTATTTGTTAGTTAGTTCTAGACTGGAAATTTGATACTCTTTATTCGCAGAGAACTTCTGTCACCGTACTTACTAAAATTACTAAAATGAGAAACAAATTGAAATATTTCTTCAAAAAAATTGACGATACGTTTTTCCAAAATCAAGAGCACTATGGAAATATTTTATAGAACATGTTCGATATCCGGTGTTAATTCAAATTGAAATTTTCGTTATTTGTTGATTAGTTTTAGACTGAAAATTTGATACTCTTTATTCGCAGAGAACTTCTGTCACCGTACTTACTAAAATTACTAAAATGAGAAACAAATTGAAATATTTCTTAAAAAAAATTGACGATACGTTTTTCCAAAATCAAGAGCATTATGGAAATATTTTATAGAACATGTTCGATATGTAATCTGGTGTTAATTCAAATTGAAATTTTCGTTATTTCTTAATTAGTTTCAGGCTGATAATTTGATACTCTTTATTCGCAGAGAACTTCTGTCACCGTACTTACTAAAATTACTAAAATGAGAAACGAATTCTGTGGTTTTTCAACAACGGATACAAATAATTTCGCATAAAGATTGACAGTTTAATATTAATTCCAAAACTGCTGCTGTTATTCTACTACTTTGCAATATTTATTCAGACGTAGCGTTTTTATTATAAATTGCCTTCGAATAAAAATTGACAGTCTAATATTAATTCCAAAACTGCTGCTGTTATTCTACTACTTTGCAATATTTATTCAGACGTAGCGTTTTTATTATAAATTGCCTTCGAATAAAAATTGACAGTCTAATATTAATTCCAAAACTGCTGCTGTTATTCTACTACTTTGCAATATTTATTCAGACGTAGCGTTTTTATTATAAATTGCCTTCGAATAAAAATTGACAGTCTAATATTAATTCCAAAACTGCTGCTGTTATTCTACTACTTTGCAATATTTATTCAGACGTAGCGTTTTTATTATAAATTGCCTTCGAATAAAAATTGACAGTCTAATATTAATTCCAAAACTGCTGCTGTTATTCTACTACTTTGCAATATTTATTCAGACGTAGCGTTTTTATTATAAATTGCCTTCGAATAAAAATTGACAGTCTAATATTAATTCCAAAACTGCTGCTGTTATTCTATTACTTTGCAGTATTTATTCAGACATAGCGTTTTGATTATAAATTTCCTTCGAATAAAGATTGACAGTCTAATATTAATTCCAAAACTGCTGGTTATTCTACTGCTTTTCAGTATTTATTCACACATATCGCTTTGATTATAAATTGCCATCGAATAAGTAAATTTACAAATCAAATAATCGCGAAATAAAGAACGTAGAACGTAGTCATTTCGAAACACATCCGCTACTTCCAGTCCCAAAAGATTAATGTTCTCGCATTTATGTGTTCCTTCTACGCGGATGCGATAACTTTTTAGCACGCATTTTGGTGAGTTTAATTGCTTGAAAGTGCGCTAGGCAGGACTAGTTATGTTCAATAGGGAAATTAGAATGCCGTTTTATGATGGTATGCAATTTTCGAGTTAGCTTGAAGTGGCACGGGACGCGCGTTCCACGATCGCAGAAGCGCAACAGCGTGCATGTGCACGGTGCACATAGCCGAGCGCATTGTTTCTCAATCTCTTTTATTCCCCTACCTCGCCGATATTCCTCGAGCCAAGTTTCTCTGTTGTACGTAGGCACTGTCGCGGTATATTGGTGGGCTCTATTTCCTTGCACTTGTACGGCTTGTTCATGCTGGGCGCGATATTCCAACTAACCACCGGCGCCGGTATCTGTAAACGTAACAAAGTTTCTCGTTTTATCGTTGCAATAATTGTTCGAATGCTATTACACTCGTCTTATTTATCCTTGGGTGCGCGCGTTTTCCACTCGATTCTGCCGAGTGTTTCGCAAAACTGCTATTCGCAGTTATTATTACCATATTACCTCATTCAATTTTTTCAATTCTCTAAAATGCAAAATAACCTTTGACAGTTTCTCTATAAAGTGTGTGGCTCGCAAAGGTGTGAATACAATTTGACGGTTGAAGAATTTTAATGTACAATTTAACATGCAATTGAGCCGCTTATTTTGAAAGTGGCATAAGTCACTTTTTTTTTTTTAATGGAAAGATACCGTTCAATTGTAATTAGTGTTACCATTAACTCGATTTTTTTAAAAAAGTGACTTATGCCACTCTCAAAATAAACGGCTCATTTATTCTAAGATAAATAGAATTAAGTTACAATCTCGTCGCGTGCAGACATGCACATCTTAAATAACTTTCAAATTACGCATTTTACGAATAATTATATGGAATACCACGTATTTTGTTGAATACAAATGTCGCATGATTCCAAAGGCGACAGATGACGGTGTATCAATTTTTGTTTATTTTATAAGACTATTTTAGTTAGAAGTGATTTGTTCAAGTTAAGTGAAAAGTTCAAGTTAAAAAGTGTGCAAATCACGCGACTCGCTCTCTCTCTGTATATGTAATAATTAGAATACTTACATGAGAATAAATATTTTTAATGAATATTAATGCTTTTATCCAAATGCAAAACTCGCAAGCTACTATCTCAGTTTGAAAAAGAATTGCAGAAGAATGTCGGTACATCAAAACTGAGAAACAATTTCTGTAATATTGTAACATATAAAGTATATATAAATATATATAAGTATAATATTATTATTATTATATAAATAATATAATATTAATATTATATAATATAATAATAATAATATTAATATTATATAATATAATAATAATATTATAATATTATTATTATTACTATATATATATTATATATATAACATATATATAAGTATAATATTGTAACGTAATATTCTGTAATATTAGGCTGAAAATAAAATACTCGAGTAATAAAGAATTCAAAGAAATATTCTAATGTCTTCGTCGACAAAGTGGACACTATAATTTCAAAAATGGCGAAACTTTCACTATAACTTCGAAGAAGCGAAACGCTTAAAATGGCAACCTTTGATGCACCAGTCTTAGTCAGCTGAACGAAATTGCTCCGATTTGATAAGATCTTTTGGGATTGATGTTCTGAGTAACGTGTTGGCGGAGAGGTACGAGGAATTTGGTAACTAACCTTGTGTTTTTCTTTAGGCGCCGTATGCCAACGCTTCGAGTGGATTTGATCGACGTCCCGTTGGTGATTAGACGTGGCCGCTATATTGAGTTTCGCAGTTGGACTGGTGTAACTTTGAAGGGTCCTGTAGTATTGGGAGTGACGCGCGGGGGAGTTTGTCGGGGACGACGAGCAACTAGGCGGACCCGCTGTCGATTCCGGTCTTGTATCGAGCCGAACGCTCTCCTCCGACACCGCCACGTCCTTCAGGTCTTTCGGGGATTCTTCTACAAAAATCGATTCTTGTCAATCCCTCGAATCATTTCTTTATTTCACGGGTGATCGCCCCCTTAGGGCATACTTCCGTAGGTCTCGGGAAAATCAAACCGGAGAGTGACAAATTGCTATTTAATCGGCTAGACAGTGGATTTCTTTATAGTCGCAACAATCAGCAATTTTTGGCTTCACTGAAACCTGTATTTATGTACAGGGTGTCCCAGGTTATACATGCTGTAGTCCATACGCAATTAGGGGGGATAATGAAATCATCATTTCTCTAATTTCGAATTCTGTTTAAAAGTTACAAGCCCTCAAAGTTTCCAGTTTTTTCTGTCTCTTACGAAATCTGCCTTCACGTTTGGATATACATGTATCTACAGGGTGTCCCAGGTTGTAATGTTCAAACTTTGTTAGTGTATTCTATGGCACGAAGTAAGAAAAAAATGTTATGTAAACGTAGGTCATATAGAGCTTTATTAAGAAGTTATAACAAAAATTCAGAATAGGAATAGTAATCGACTTGCTGTTACTGCGAGCATTGGCTCGAATAGATCAGCACATGCCGTGTGTTTATGTAAGCTGTGTTTATTAATACATTTCGAAATGTATTAATAACCGTTGTTGACAATACATGATTGACATCGATCGAAGATTCTTTTTTATTTTTTATTTTTTTTTTAGTTGATTACTATTCCTATTCTGAATTTTTGTTATGACTTCTTAATAAAGCTCTATATGACCTATGTTTAAATAACATTTTTTTCTTGCTTTGTGCCATAGAATATACTGACAAAGTTTGAACGTTAAAACCTGGGACACCCTGTATTTTCATTATCCCCTGGATTACTGCTGTTGACGCCTATGGCTCAGAAAATTGAACACTAGGTTAACGGAACGCGTCACTTTTACACAATTTCTCAAATTTACCATTACATTTTTAATTCACGGAATATATACATTTATGGGGAATTTATGTGATCAATTTGTGGCATTGGTCATATATTATAATAAAAATCGCTGAAAATTTGAATAAATACGTGCTTGTTACGAAATAACATACAACAGCTGCATTTAGTAGTCCGAAAACTTAGTGTTAAGCATAATTTCTGATCGGAAAATTTTATCAGAAATTATCATTATTAGGTAACGCATATGACACGATTCAGTGTGTTTCGACTATTTTAATATAAATTTGATGAATACATGCACGTAGTTCATAGTACAGATTGCGGTTAAGCTAGCATATATTGCGCATACGGTATTCACGTTGCATTTCGGAATTTGGAAACTTTATCGAGAAGAATTCCTGCTGATCTAGAACGTTTTCTTAATTTTAAAGAAATCGACTAAGTACAGATTTGTGAAATGTTTCGAGCTAAAAACTCACCGGAAGTAGCCACTATCGCGTACGTAGATTTATATTGAGGACTGACGAGGGGCGAATTGAATTGTTCCATTGTTAATGACTCGTGCATGCTCCCGTCCTCCGGCATGTCCGGGGAAACGTGATTGGCAGTTTCTGCCAGCATCCCTCCAGGAGTTAAATTTAAGAGGAGACCCTGGAAAAGTCCAATCTTTTGATTCATTCGAAAACAAATTTTACAAATAATCACGGTGTTACGTGACATCGTATACTTCGACAAGAAATCGGTGATCTTGCAATTTTATTCTTCGTACGTTTCTAGGGGTGCAAACTCGCCGAGTTTCTGTTTCCATGTACCATAAAGTAATTAATTTTGCACTAATTGTGCTGTTATGTCATGGATTCATTCAAAATGATATATTACAAGTTATACTTCGACAAGAAATCGGTGATCTTGCAATTTTATTCCTTATACGTTTCTAGGGATGCAAACTCGCCGAATTTCTGTTTCCATGTACCACAAAATCATTAATTTTTCTCTAATTGTGCTGTCGTTTCATGAATTCATTCAAAATAATATATTACAAGTTATACTTCGACAAGAAATCGGTGATCTTGCAATTTTATTTTTCGTACGTTTCTAGGGGTGCAAATTCGCCGAGTTTCTGTTTCCATATACCACAAGGTCATTAATTTTGCTCTAATTGTGCCGTCATTTCATGGATTCATTCAAAATAATATATTACAAGTTAAATACAATTTGTCGAGTTAAAGCGCAAAGCGAATGCGGACGAAATGACAGTCGAATTAATTAATTTCTGAGGGACATATCAGTGCGCAAGTTGACGCAGTAAATTGCGTGAATGGTTCATTAAGCAAGCTGATTTTTATGATGAGAAATTGAATCGTAAAAAATGTGAGAAAGTGATGGAAACGGAAACGAAATCGAGAATTCAGTATGTAAATTTAGTTCCGACTTAGTTGCTGAATACACAAACAATAATCAACAACAAGCAGCGTCCCCTATTTGGTTTAACGGTTCGCATTGATTTATGTGATCCGGAGGTGACGAAGTTCGCGGACTTTTAATGACAAATTAAAATCCGTTTTATCGCCCCTCCCCCGGGGAAGTTGCAGCATATTTATGAACTAGCTTTTACCTTCATGTTTATGGCGAATCCAAATGGATTTTTCAACACGGTCGGCGAGCTCTGAAGTTTTTGCCGTCGATTCAGAAGTAGAATAATGACGAACACCAGCAGAAGAAGTAGGATAATGGCAGTCAGAACACCTATTAGTACCTCTAAATATTCCTGACCCTCTCCCGCAGCTGTAACTATGCCAAACGGTTCTCTTTAATGCAAAATAGTCGCTAATCATACTGTACCTTCATTTTCTCCGTTTCAATGGAAAACTGACTAAGATCGAGGTTTCCTTTTTTGTAACAAAGTTGACAACAATTTCGACCGAGGTTTTTCAAAGTCATGCCCCGTAGATTCGCGATCTCGAGTTAACAAAATGTGAAATTTCGTGTCGGTTGCGTGCACAAGAAGATGCCATATGTTTTGTTTGTCTTCCTTTCGAATTTGCTTGGTTGGAAAACGTAAAATTATAAAAATAAAATTAAGTAATAATTAATTATAATTATAAATATATATATTAAATATAATATATATAATATAATATAATATAATATAATATAATATAATAT